TTAAACATTTTGAAGTACTACTTGACAGTCATAAACATGTTGTATTTAAAAATGAATTTAAACGTGTCGACACACCAGTTCAATATGTTTTGGGTGGCTTTATATCCTAATATAAGAGGGCTTTTGGGTTAAGTATCAAAGTAGGAGAGTGAGTGAGAGGGATTTTGGGTTAAACACCAAAACAAGAGAGTTCGTTAATGAGTTATTTGATCTTTTGTGAATTGTCAAGAACCTTATTATTTCATCAATTTTGTGGTATCAAACTTAGCAAACTGATATTAGAGTAAACTATCAATTTCAGGATATTGATCTAGCGCTACAAAAAAGTGGAGAAAAAAAAATCCACTAGAGCTCACTTAGATATTTTTGAGCTTTGGTCTGTTGGAACTTGTTGAGAGTTTTGCGGAGAAAATGTAACATGATCAATATTCATGCTTTTAGCCCATAGGGATCTAAATCTCTCATGAGTTTTGACTTGTTGGGACTTATTAAAAATGTCGTGAATTTAGCCCATTTGCAAGTTTTGACTCAAATCCATTGAAACTCTAGTTACTTTTTGACCTATTAGAATCCATTAAACCTTTTGCAATCTAGGCACGTTGGGATTTGTGAAACTTTTATGGAGAAAGTGGAATGTATTTGTTATTTGTGGATATTGGATTTAACGTTGAGATTTGTTAAGTTTATCTTTATATTCTATAGTTTTACAACAAAAAAAATCTCTTTTTGTTAGTTGTAAATATGTTGAATTTGAACGAGTTTAAGTGCGTTAATGTACCAATCTAAGAGAGTTTTTGGGGGGCTCCATGACTAATATAAGATAGATTTTGGTTTAAGTACCAAATTAAAAGAGTTTGAGTTTTTTGGCCGTTAAGTCTTTTGTATTATTTTGGATTCTCTTCTGTTTTTAGTGTTTGGTACTTTTAGATTTAAAAACACTTTATTCAATATTTAATGCTCTAAGGTGCAAGAATGCTTTTCTAGGGTTTTGTGCTTTTTCTTTTTGTACTTTTTTTGTCATCATAAATTTACTACTCCTCCACTCGTGGACGTGTATCATTCATCGAATCACCTAAATTTGGTGCATCTCTATTTTATTTAATTTTTGTAGGTTGTTAAGAATCTTAGGCCTTGTTTGGATTGAAGGTTTTCAAAGAAATATCTCTATATTTTTTGTAATCATATTTTTAAATTATTTTTTATCTCATGTGCAAGGAAAATCCAAGATACCGAGTGAGGGGCCGATGTGGGCTCTGGATCACTCTACTTGTGAAACAAATAAGAGAATTCGGAGTGACGCTTTCCTCTCAGTATCGCTCTATGCTCAATATTATTCCTAAGTGGGGTGAGTATAAGAGTGAATGCATACCCTTGGAAGAGCAAAATAGGAGGTATTTATCATGGTGGGAGGGGAGAGAAAGAGATAGAGGGTAGGGTTCATAGGCTGACTTTCTAATCCAAGATAGTTCGATGATGTCAAACCCTAGTGTGTCAAGGGGAGCCTATTATATCAATAAATCTTGTCCTCCCGTCGAAGTCGCATTCAGCTACAACTTAGAAGCTTTTAACCTTGGAGAGTTATCAGTTCATCAAAGCAATCTAGTGGATCCACAGTCGATGTCTAGGGAGGTTCACAGTGATCTACATATATCAAATTATTATAATATAATTTTATATTAAAAAAATTCAAAAAATAGCAATTCAAACAAGAACTTTTGTTATTTTTCCCGTCAATTTTCTAGTAAGGCCTAGCAGCATACTTCACGCTAGTGATCTATGGCTTAATATTTGGGAAAAATTGGGGAGGGAAAGGGTTGCAACTTGCCGCCTGTTCATTGAATTGGTATTCGACAATTTGGTCAGTTGGCCTTTGACAAGAAAGAAAAGCTCCCCTCGGCAATGGATTGGAAGGCCAAAAGCTTGTGAGGCTGGAAACATGGATATAACTTGAGGATGGGGCTGCGCTTCGACGACGTTCATGCTGTCAAAGTAATCATTGCATTTTTGCATGATATATGGGGTTTGATTGATTGATGTGTTTAAATTTTGAGAATTGAAGGAAAAGGTCTGCACTTTCTACTACTAGTAGTAGTGGTAGTCCAGTAGAGTAGTATGCGATTATTATTATTGGGGGGTTGAGTTGACAGATGGAAATAATTAAACTTGAGAAAATTGATTAGATATTGAACTATTGATGATACGCTATTACTAGCTGTTAATGCTGAGCTGAAACATCAAACATGGCTCCGCCGGTTTAGATTTTGACATTTGATGATGTTAATTGCATTAATGGGGATATAAATACGTTCAGCTTCCGCCTGCTCTCATCAAAAGCGAATAAGGACACACGTGAGAAACAGCCTGCCAGTTTATTCCGAAAAGGTGTAAAAGAATGGTGATAAGATAAGAGGTGAGCTCCTTTATTATTGTATTTCAAAAAATAAAAAAAAAGGTGTTTTATTGTGAATAAAGACTCATTTGGATTGTAAATATTTAGAATTTTTTTTTATCAAAAAATATATACTATAGCGAGATAATATATATAAAATAAAAAAATAATTTAAAAATATGTCAAAAAATTTTGTCTGCAAAAACTCGCATACTACTTTGGATTGTGAATTATTAGAGATATTTTTACTGTAGCACTTTTTGTGATGTGATGTATGTGAGATAAAAAGGTAATTGGGAAGGTAAAAAGGTGTATTGGAAATTGTAATGATGATGTAAGTAAATAAATTTGGGGAAATAAAACCCAATCCAAACAAATAAGTACTTGTTTCAACTGCATTGATGCGCATACATCACACAATATGCTTGTATAGTTAGCAACTTGATGCCATACTTGAATTATTTCTATTAGTTATGAAGCTACACGTAATAATAATGCGAAAGATATCTGTAAAAGTCATCTTCATGAGTGGATAAATTACAAGTAACTCATTTAGTAGGTGATTGATTAGATTAAGAACTAAAGTGTGATGAACTTGTACTTTAGGGGTTACATTCTTTACATATTTAGTGTCAATTATAATATAGAAAGTTGAATGTATAAATTTATTAGTTGTAGTGGGTAATTTAAGAGTAACTAATTTAGTCGCTAATAAATTAGATTTAGTGGGTAGCAAGTCAACTAAAGAAACTAAAGAAAGGGGGAAAAAAAAAGTAAGCTTGGGCTAAGGCCAAATGAAGCCCGTAAGGCTTTGTGAGTGGAAATGAACCACCCTTTGGAGGGCCCTTGCAGAGTTAAGGTTAAACTCTAAGATGAAATTTTGATACCAGCAGAAATCAGCTCCCAAATCCAATTGACAACGCTCCCTGGGGTGAACGGCAGAGAGTTTTCTTTGGATGATTAATTGATTTGGAAATTGTGGGCCACGAGGAAATGCGGACGGAAACACCGCAATGCAATCGTGGGCCTATGGCATAATGAACTTCTAAGATCGTTCCGCATCGGACTCCAAAGGGTACGATTATCTGGAAAGACACTGGTCTACGACGAGGCTGCCGCCTTTTCCAATGTGGTACTAATCATTCTTTTCTTGCCTAATTAATTATTATTATTATTATTTATCAAACGTAAGATAACTGTGCGGTTCCAAGAGAAACCTACTACTGTACTACGTAGTTTCTGTAAGTAGTAATAGCGAAGACATAATAGTTAGAAGGGACAACAAAAAAAAAAGAAAGAAAGATAAAAGTTTCATCGTACTTGTAATGAAGCTTTAGAATGCCATTTTAAATCATTTACCAAAATGTAAATGACGAGAAAGAGGTTAAAACACAGAGGAGTTAATTCCTCTACCATCCCACCTTCTTCTTCTTGTAAAAATTGACGTAGACCCCGCAAGCATCTTTAATTCGAGTAGAATTCACAGGTTGTATGATTCATTTCCGAATTGTATATATAAAATAAAGGGTTAAAGAGTAGTTAATTCTACACGCATAGAGTAGTATATCTTTAGTCATTAGTTAATTTTACACGTTGTCCTACTTTTCTATACGGTCCTCGGCAGAAAGTAACAATGATTAGCTCTAGAATCTACTCAGGCCCTTGTTTGATAATTTCATTTAGTACTTAAATTTGATGGATTTAGATCGTAACAAGTTCAGACGTGTTTGATAACAAAAAATTAAACATTTGAATTAATTAAATGACACTGAATTTCGTAATGAAAACTTGCTCTAAAAAACAAGTAATAAGCTACTCACTTATCACTGAATGTGATATACATTTAAATGTATTAAATTTAATACTTAATAATTCAATAATTTAATGGATTCAGATTTCAGTTTTAAATTGAGTGTGTTTGGATTGTAAATGATTTGAGATAATTTTGTGAAAAAAGTACTGTAATACTTTTTTGATATGATGTATGTGAGATAAAAAAATGATTGAAAAATATATTGATGATGCAAGCAAGTCAGTGTGTGTAAATAAGGTGTAAATAAAGTGTAATTTTTTATAATCCAAACACTTATTGTTTGGATTAGCTGTTTTTTGGGGTGATTTTGAAAAATTTTACTGTAGCAGAGTTTTTAGAGTATATTTTGGAATATTTTTTAAATATTTAAAAAAAATTAGACTACTTTTTTGAGTATCTTTTAGACTACTTTTTAGGGTATCTTTTAGAGTACTTTTTTAGACTAGTAACTAGTTTTTGAAAAACTCAACAATAATTAGCCAAGATAGAAATATTCCCAATTGACAACTAGTTATTGGTTTGGAAACTTATAAATATCAAACCTTAATGATTTTGTATAGGTATTATTTAAGATAAGCTTGCAAAGAATAATCAAGCATAATAAAATTTTATTAATTCGACACACATTCCACATAATTATTGCCATGTCATTACTCATTAAAGATGCGAAAGGAAACCTTGTTAGTACATGTTATCGCTCCACAAAGGCAGTGCTTACAAAAAAAAAAAAAGAAAAAAAGAAAAAAAAGAAGCAGCTGTCGGTTTATTGTGATGGGAGCAAAAAAGTACGATGCTTCCAAATTCCAACCGTCAACTCCAACTTCACTGGTCATATCATCCGTCCAGCATTCGAATTCGATCACCCAAATAAACCATCCGGTCTTCCTTTTTAATTACAGTTATCATGAATGGGAATGAAGTTTAGAAAACAAAAAAAAAAAGAAGAATGATTGAAAGTTAGTTGAGGTTGCCAAAATTTTGCAAACCTACCAGACAAACAACCTCCACCTTCCAATTTAATTGTGGCGCCCCGCCCCGCCCAGCCCCCAATACGTATTGCTACTCCCTACAGCATTCTTGCTCCGGGACTATTTCCAAGTGCAGCGCGCACGCATTGTAAAACCCATTCTTTCTTTCTTAATTCCGGGTATAGTAGTGCCTCAATACTGTTCCTGCTATCTACGATGTGGCGGTCACTTTGGCCTACAATCGACCGCTTCTCTCTTCACCACTTCAGGTTTGCTCCATTTTTTTTCGGTTACATTACTTTTTAACCTTTTTGTTTTTGTGGGAGCAAAAGTTTTTGTTCTAAAATCCTGAACTAATTACAAAATAACCCATTTACAGTCAAATTTCTTCTTTCTACTTTTTCCTTGGGCCCGGAGAAGGGGGGGGGGGGCGGTGTTGGTTGTGAATCAGTGGAGTACAGAGTGGAAGTGAAAATTTGTTGCAACGATGCAAATTAATCAGGGTTTAAAGCTTTGTCTTCATGGTGAAAATTTATCTTGTAGGTAGATTTTTATTACATGATCCACAGAGGAAAATTATATCATAAGGCGGGGAAACATTTTTCTTTTTGATTAAGGCTGGCAGCATCCTCGACATGCATTTCAGCCATATAAAACTGTTGGCTTTAACATGACCTCCTTTTGGGTTGAAAATTTTTGTGTTTCTACTACATTTATTCTTGTTCTACTATCTCCCTTGTTTAACTGTCTTGTGTGATCCAATTTTGGAATTTAGATATATTGTAAACCAACTGCGGGAAATCAGAGTCGTTGACAAGCGCAACCGGGTATAGAATCAATTCATTTCCCACTTCGATTTATCAAATTTGCCTAATGATCTGTTTTCTGCGGTCTGATATCAGCAACCCTTCTCTCTTGCATGATCCTCTTCCTCCAGGAAGTAGTTTTGGATTTGCTTCAATCAATTGTGGAAATAGTTACCTATGGTGATCGGCATGATCCAGCGATTTTCGAGTTAGAAACATTGCATCGCCCTACTTTTCTAGATCCTCTTAATGTGAATATGTTGTGACACATCCAACTTGAGTTTCCTTTTCTCTTCTTATAGATGTTTCATGGAATTTCAAGTTTTAGCAGAGTTTGTTCGTATACTAAAGATTGGTGGGAATTCAGGAATTGAGGCAGCACTCTTGCAGTATTTGAGCATAATGATCCAGAACGTGGAAAATGAACATGCCATCTGTAAGCCTTTGAAACTCGCATCCGACACCAGATCAAAGATTGTATTACTTGTAATTTTTTATCCAAGGAAAGTTGAAGGATAGAGGCAAGACATCCAGCTGCCTTGCATGGGTTGGGATAGCATCTAAACAGTTCTAAATGTAGAATGGAATATGAAAACAATCACATGCTCAACAACGGCGAAGATTGATATTACTTCAAAGCTTAATGACCCCCAACTGTCATGTCAGTCACACATAGTTTCTATTACTAACGTCAGAAACATTAATGTGCTCTTGCCTGGCTCTCGTGTAGTGCTACAATAATGTGCCCTGGATCTTATCTTTTGTGAGAACATGATCATTCGAGCCTACATATGCATCTTATTGGGGGGTTTCAAATGTATGTGAATTCAAAAAGTCTTGTGTTAAGCCATAGGCTATTTTCACTTCTAAGTAACTGTATTTTCTTTTCTTTTCTAAAGCATTATTTTGTGCTTACTTCTTCAAATGTTGCTTGTACAATTCTTTGGTGTCTTTTCTAATGTAAACGATGCAGACTATTGTTTCAGCAATGGCTATATCAACAGCGTAATATCACATCATTATGAGTTCGATGGGGGAGATCTAATTCCTTATTATGTATCCTTTCTGAGGTTGTGTGCCTTACTGTTCTTACTGTCAGTTATTTAGTCTCATTTTCCCTGGCTTAAGTTTATGCCCAAGTAATTAATTTTTATTTTTTGTGTAATTTGATCCAGAACAGTTAGTGGGAAAATAGGTAGAGACACAATCTGTCTTCTCGTAAAGGTTCACCAGGTAGATTGAAGCTTAAAATTTCAATGAACTTTATTAGAAAAGACTATCTTTATCCATTCCCTTTTTGTTTGTTCAAGTACTTTACCCTGATACTTTTGACCGAACTGGTCCAAAGCTCCTTGTTTCTTACAAGTATTTATTGCAAAAAGAAGTATGCATTTAGCCAGGCTGTATCCTGCTCTAAAAGAACTTGAAATGCTCAGAAATGAAACGGATTTTTTTTTTGGGCGTTGTTTGATAAAATTCCCTTATTTTATGAGTTGTTGAATGTTCACAGGACCTTAGCATTTAGGAATAAAAGCTCTTGCAGCTATCCATAACGATTTGCAGTTAACATGTTAACATAATGTTAGATTATTTAGATAACACCTGCCAATTTTATTTTGGAATTGGGAGACATTTGTTTTGAGGATAGAAATTTTAAATGATTGGTGCAGTCTAGACTAAGCTAATTGGGAAGAATTAGGTCTAACCAATGTCATCTAGTTCCACTAGGTCTGCCCTGTAATAATGCTGTTATTGTGCTCTACTATTGATAAAAATGTGTGTTGTCTTTATATAGATTACCTAGAATAATGTGCTTTTTGTTAGTTACTCTGTTTTGATTTTTACCCACTTTGACAGGACACTGCAATCTCATTGCCGTTGTATGATGAGGCTCTTAAATTTGCTAACCATGGGGAAAAGATGATACAGATAGCAGTTCGTGCACTGACCCTTAACATTTATAGTGGTACTCTACTATTATAAAATGTACTTTATTTTAAATATATTGTACTTTTAGTAGGTTGTATCCAAATAATAGTGATTCTAAGCTATTTATTCAATGATGCAGTTGCTGATGAGATGGTCTATCAATTTCTAACAACTCCGACTGCTTCTGCATACTTTTCTAGCTTGATTCTGAATTTAAAAAATAAGTGCTTGCATGTTGATGCAATCATCAATGGGGTAAAGTATGTTTCTGTTCCTTTAAATGTTCATTTGCTTTTTCCAACAGCAGTTATCCGCCTCTTGAGAGCTTGTCATAACTATGATGCAGGGAGAGTTTCCATGAAAAGAAAAGAGAACTTCTTTCAGAAACTGATAGAATTTTGGATGACTTCTATTACCTGAAGGACATACTGTGCATTCCTGAGCAGCGCTTGAACAAACTTGTTACAGAGAACATTGTTAACATGCTTATTTTGCCGATGTTGCTTACTCTACTAAACAATAGGCTAAGCAATGTGAGATATTATTCAGTTAGGCTTTGTTATTTTGATATTTTGTCTCCTCAATCTACTGGACTTCATCAGAGGTGCATTTTTTGGCTCATAATTTTTGGGGAAAACTATTTTCCAGAGGATCAATGTAGTTTCTAATAAATAATGAAGAGGATGAGCATATAAAGTCTCTTGCCACTGACATTGGTTAGAAGAAACACTTGAAGAATTTTAACTAGTAAGCAATTAAAGTTATGGAGGGATTGTAGTACTATTAGTTCTCTCTCTCTCTTTCTGGGTAAGTGGGAGGTCTTGAACTCAAGATCTCCTACTTACAATCCTTCCCACCTTATCACCCACCCAACCCTCCCCTCCGTAGTACTATTACCCGTTGTTATGCTTTTATGTAGCGAAAATAATTTATTATCATTCCATCCCAGCGCATGTTATTATTCTTGCAGATATTCATTTGCATTTCCTTCAGTGCTGTTCCTTCTGCACTCTATCTGAAACCATCAAAATCAATTTTCATCCAAACAAATATTTCTTTGTGGTTCAGAAAGGCATTTACAAACGTGGAGTCATTTGTATATGTGCACAATAAAGTTTGATATTTAAGTGTTTTACAAGAATAATATCTCAACCTTTTTCATTATTCCTTCAGGACACTGGTCTATCTGCAATCACTTGTCTCTATGTTCTTTGTCGTCTTCTTCAAGTTTTTGATGGAACGAATTTGGTTAATGTTATCGGCAGTGCTGTTCTATTTTCTTTTATGCCTCCAAATGTGACAGATGCTGCTGAGTCTGTTGTATCTGCTAGACTTGAGCAGGTGAATGGTCTTGCAGTCTGTTATCAGGAAGGGGAAGAAATGGTAGATCTTCAGCATGAGGGGGCAGAAAACTTCATGATGAACTATGTTCTTAAGCATTCATTGGAGTTCACAGAACTGAGCTCTTGTTTTGACAGTTCACCGCTGGAGAATTCGGAAAATGAATGGTTAGTGGTGGGTTTTAATGTGAATCCCTTTTTTTTTGCACTGTACATGGAATCATGTATTGGATTTTGAAAGTAATCTGTTAATCTTGATACCACCAGTTAAATTATTTATTTAAGGTGCATAATAAAATTAATTTAGAGCTTTAGAAAGCTTTCAAAAGGTCTAGAATAAAAAGGTGCAATTATTACAGCTGTTACAGATGCATGGCGTATCACCATATCTGGGCAAAAAGTTTGGTGGTCATAGAAGTGACAAACTAAGTGGCATCATTCACAAACATTTGGAAGCCATAATGATCAGCTGAATAGTAGATTATGAAGGACTTTGCATTTGTTCTTCTATCTGTGTGTAATACATAGTGTTTTATTTCTGCTGTTTGCTTCATATGCAAGTTCATTTTGATGCTTAAAATTGCCTCTACTTATTGATCTTATATTATATGTGAAACAAGGGGGCTTGCGGATCAGGTTTTCTTGAGATCCTGGATGGCTTTTATCCTTATCTATGTCGTTTTTCATTACTATATGTTTGGTACCTTCTCTCTTCTTTTCTATCTGTTTTGAGTTCTGTACAATAAAAGCGGCTCCTTGTGAAACTGAATAATATGATGCAAAATTCTTGGAGAGGATGACAATAGATGCGGTTAATTGCCTAATTTTAACAGTGAATAAGATGTTCAGTGCATTTCATTTTTTTTATCTGCAATTAATTTGAGCCTTATAATTATTTTTCTGATGCAGAAATTTCCATTAGGCTTGTCCTGACGGTAACAAGATTTGTATTTGGAACATTTTGCAGGGGTGGAATATTTAGTTGTATTTTCTCCCGTAATCACAGTCTAATGCTAGGTTCTTTGATGTTATTGTTTACAGTGGCTGACAGTAAAGGTAGTTTTATTTTTTCATCTTTTCTTATATGTATGACTGCTCTGCTAGTTTATTATTATTATTTTTCTTTTCCTGCAGATCTTCATTACCAGTTGGCTGCAAAGATAGGATTTTCTCAAGTAAAGGTAATGGTTTTATATTCCCTGTTACGGTTAGAGAACAAAAGTCATATGTTCCTGTTTTGTTTTATCATTTGCTTACTTTTAAGGAGGGCATGCCTCAATATTGGAGATTCTTTGTAGGTTTTGTGATCATGTGTGACATTGAATGTCATATCCCTATTATTTTGGCGTTTAGCAAAAAGTTGGATTGTAATATTTAGGGAATTGATTCCTTGCTTTTATATTTAATTCCCAGACTGCTTCAGAGATGATTGGAAGCACTGTTGCAGGACACATACAGAAGGTATTTTTTGCCCAAGTTGCATTTCACCAATCAGTTTAATATATTGTCCTGCTTGTGATAGTGAATTCCAAGACCGCAGCAAGCTGTTGGATATGGGAAGTTTCTGCCTCATGATTTGCTAAATGCATGAACTTGCAATCTTCCTAATCAAGTTAGTTTCTCTTTGGCATCGCCCGCTATTATGATGCTTTTATTGATTGTGCAGATTGTGAATCAATTATTGAAGGTTTTGGCGAGTGAACCACCATTGTCAGTACCAATATTGTTGCATGCAGCTTGGTTTTTGCGAAAGTTGTTGGTTTTTCTGGACCAGAAGTTAGAGGACAATGATTGTCACCTCTTCAAGGTTTGGTTTGAATTTCTTGTAATGTTTCCTCAGTCTCTATCATATTACAGTTATTAGTTGGAAAACTTTTCCTTTTGAGATGTTCCTGAAATACTGGTACATATCTCGAGTTGGACGAACTAGGTAATCGCTAGTGTTTGTATACTGCAAGCCATATTGACAGTTGGTGAATGGAGTTTATAGGGAATAAATAGAGATTCTGCACCTCCACTCAGTTTGCAAAAGTTTCGTATTAATGGTGGTCAAAATTCATGTCTATTGGCGGTGAATAACAACATCAGCATGTTTATATATAATGTCCTGAGGCTTTTGCAACTGCTGGGTGATTAACTGGTTCTGTGCTCATAAATTTAGCATTTTGTGCCCCCCCCCCCCCCCCAAAAAAAAAAAAACTACATCTATCTGTGAAATTTGCATTCCCGTGTAGTTTGAATAACTCATAGAAGATAATCAAATAATTTCAGTCCTTTGATCTGAATAATTCAACACAATTGGATGCAATAAAATTGTACAGTTATCTGAGATATTCAACTATTGGTTTGATATGACAAATAATGCTCAATCTAGTCTTATGGGTATTGAAAATGAGTATGTGCAGGATGCTAACTCTATAACTTGTTTTTTCTTGCAACTTAGGTGACAATTAATTGACGAGTAATTTGCACCTCAAGTAATCCAGGTCGTTAGGGCTTCTATGCTTTGGTTATCTCTAGGGGATGTTAAGTCACAATATTCTGTGATGAGGCAGGATTTATTTTCATCCATATTGCATTTTTTTTAAAGAATTCATGGATCATTATCACAGCTTCATTGCAAAGCTTTCTAATGACTGTAGACAAAAGTGAATGGAATTTAAGGATATAGTTTTTACCATGCACAAAAATTTGGGTAACAATTCAGGTTGGATGACCTGCATTCCTTGATGGACTAGCCCCTAGTTGCCTAACAGTCCCATGGAACTATAAGATTGAGACATTGTGTGATATGTAGTCATTGGTTGCATAATCATTGTATGATGAGGGAGACATTTCATTGCCTAAAATTCCTTGCAAATGTATGACTTATAATTTTATCTCAAACTTTCTAATGAGAATTTTGTTTCTGAGGTACGCTGACAGACCTCATATGAGGGCTCTTGTGGACGTCTTTATGAAGAATTTGATCGATGCTGGTTTGACTATATTCCAGATGTGTTAAAAAGCGAATGGGCCAACTGTAAAACAGGTATGCAGTGTTTGTTTCAAATTTTGCCAGCAAAGAAGAAAAGGCTTTCTGGAAATTTGGGTCATCATCCTGCCTTGTGATTTGTATCAAGGAATTTGATTTGGTCCTTCTGGTGGTGTACGATTTTACCATTTTGTTTTCTCATAATGGGCTATGTAATCTTTTTTGAGCATTTGTTTGCCTTGTGAGGCTACAGCACTCGAAGAATCATCACAGTCCAAGGATCCTTTCTTTCTTCTAGAACTTGCATCTATTCAAAATCCTCCCAGTGGTAGTATGGCGTTTCTTCTACTCTCTTCCTTCCTTCTTTTATTCATATTTCTTTTGTTTTATCTCTGCTGTCTGCTTTTAAAAAGTATAGTCTTACCACCTGCTAGTTTTCTATTTAACATCTCAGGCAATACCGGTCCTGCTTTTGATTGGCAACGGATGGTTGATTGTGTCAAGGTTAACAATTATCTTTTGAACTCTAATCATGGGAATTACCTAACAGATTTAATCCTTCACCATTATGGTGTTTGGTTTTCAGAGTATGTGAAATTGAATAGGTGATGTTTAATTTGGGAGGAAATGCCTGATAGTAATATTGATACAAGTACCTACCAAGGAGGCTAAATAATGATGACTGGTACTGTTTTTTCAGTGATTTCCGGACCTTGTGGGATGGGAAGTTCGATAGAACTTTAGGTACATGATATTCAGTCTCTTTATAGAGCCAAGTTTAGGAGTATGTCAGCCTTCTGTTTCATCTGTGCCATTTGGGTGTGAATCAGACAATTTTTTTTTGTGTCAGTTGTCACAGAAACCACAAAAATGATACTTGACTAATTTTCACTGGCTTGTAAACTTGATAGGTTTTTGTTCTCCATCTTCAACTGAAGCCATTTATTTTTGGGGGTGATCCTTTTGATAATCCTTTAGCAAATTTGAAAAACAGCTACTTGGCTCAATCGGGGAAAAGATATCCTTCGGATCTTTCATTGGCAAGCTTCGGTTCAGAGGTAGCTTTAGGTTGGTTATCCATCCTGTGGAGGTGTTACTTAGCATTCACTCAAATATGCATAATCATGTTCTTAATTGGAGTTTTTATCTTTATATTTTGCTTAAACATTCACAGGTTCTGGAATCCCCTGTAAAATTGCATTTTCTGGAGCTGGGACAAGAGATATTTATGTGATACCAATTGCAAGGGAAATATCTGGTAAATTGCTACTTGTGGAACGACATCCGTTACACTCTAGAAAAGGAGTTGTAATTGCCATTGCTCCATTGGCTGGATTGGATGTAAGTCCTTACCCCCACGTTATTTTGAAAGTCTCTTTCATATTATTGACCTTTGGGCATCATATAAATGCTCAAAATGATTATAAAACTCGCTGAATCATTCAAAATTATGCCAAATGCGTAAATCTTCCGAGTTTCTCTGATCGAATTTTAATTACTGTTACTAAGATATTAATTGGTAGACACTTCTTGGATAATATATAACTGTAGCACATATCTCCGCTTAGAACCACTGCAGACCTGGCCTGTTGACATGAACAGGTCGTTATGCGGGAACCCAGTGAGTATGATCTGGGAGATGTGCTGATGCAATGTGTGAAATGTCAATGTCATCTACTTGTTTTGTGGGTGACTTGGAAAGGTTGTTTGGTCCAAAATTTTCATCTAACACTCATTTCTTCCCCTGTTCGAATAGCCCAAGATAGACGAGGAGCATCCTACATGGTTGCTAGTGCATCTTAGAGACTTTGAGCCAAGACTCCGATCAGATGAAACGAAAACACTCGACTCCCATACATCACTCCCTGAACAAGGAAGATGGATACTTGGATTTTTGAGCGCCAAAGATTGCAAGGCTGCTTTCTCGGTGATACTCGAGGAAACTAGAAAACAGAGGTCCTTTGTGGAGAACTTGGTTGCTCCGGTACTGGAAGAGAAATTGTTCAAATAGTCGTCAACAAAATGCTAGGGCAGTTTGAATGCCGAGTAACAGCTCCTATAACCCACAACACATTAATAATACCCTGTACATCTCCTCCTTGTTTTTGTTGATGAAGCTAATTAGATTATAAGCACGCCTTGTGGTTTTCTATTCCCTCCATGTATTATATCTGCCTCTCTAGCAGCAATGACAAAAACAACACAACGTATTGATAAAAGCTACAGACTCTGCTACAGGATTTTTTTTTTTTTTTGGGGCAAATCATTAAATACCTCGGCTAGGTGACCCAATCATTTAAAGGAATGCATAGAGTCCGAAGAAAGGCAATTTGGTCATCTTTTGCAAGGACATCACGATGATAATAGAAATATTTGCATCAACAGAACATAAAAATTGCATCATGATGCATATCATAGAAAAGATGACCTGCACTTGTTTGCCACAAAATCTGGGTTATACAAGCATTCCAATCAAGATTTCTGGAAAAGAGCAAGAAATTATTTGAACATTATATGAAATGAATAGCAAAGAAGTTTAGTTCTATGTGCGCATAAATCCTAGTTAGCTGCCAATAAGAGCAAACGAGAATAAGGTGTTATGGGCTCATGTCAACCTTATCATTAGTAGTTAAAGAGCAGGGCGGGCTTACTTTTTTGTTCATACTAAAAGTGAAATGCTTGCATGTATACGAATATTCAGTTAAAATCAACAATGCTGTAAGTTCCTTGGGATGGGGAGTTGGACATTTTATTATCTAATAGTACTGAATCAGAGTGAACTTTTTTGCTTCGTTGATACAGATATATTAAACACCCAAAAAGAAAAAAAAGAAAAAGAAAAATTCTACTTGTCAATATGTAAACCTTGTTTTCTGTTGGTGTTTTTGCTCATGAGTTTCAGCATTTTTGCTGTACTTTAGATGGAACTCATCTGCCTTGGCATGTTGCGTTGAAAAAAGGACATGATATGATATAGAGCTTAATTCGGGGTACAAGGATAACTATCGCAGTTTATTTTCTCAAGTAGTAGTAGTTTGTAGTAAGTACTTTCGTAATTCTAATTCTCTAAGAAAATTGCATGGTCTGAAACAAACTTTTGCAAAAGGAGTATGTGGTACGCAGTGGCATCAGCTTTGACAAAGCTGTATCATGTCAAAATTAGAGCAACTTTTTCTCCTGCTACCTTTAAAAATCTTTGGCCCGCCAGCGAAATACTACTACTATTTAGTACTCTTTTTTTTTTTTTTTTTTTGTCGACACGGGCTGTCCGGGTCAATCCTTACGGGGCCTGATTAATCCCCTGCGGGACTCGAACCCTGGACAAGGCAAGAAGGTCACCATACTCTAAGGAGGGGGAGCGGACCGCTCGAGCTACCCCGCGGGGGCAAAAACCAGTCACGTAGAGTGGCAAGTTGTGAGAGGCAGGGGTTGAATCCCTGAACTCCAGTATCCCCAAAGAAGGGGATGACCACTGGACCAAATGGCCAGTGGCTACTACTATTTATTACTCTCTGCTACGAGAAAGGAGGGGGAGGCTATTGTGAAAAAAAAAAAAAAAAAGTGCTCTCTGCCTCTCAAAATTGCTTTCACCACATGGCCGTGTACAGACCAAAGACGTATATTCGAAGCCCAAGAGCATAAACGTAATACTATCAATCCTTTCTCATTTCAATTTAACTATGGGTTGCATGTTGCATGATAGTGTCTTTGCCTCGAGCAGAAAGAAAATTAATATGATTAAAAAAGCTACTCCGTCCGTTTGATAGTTCTGTTTTCCTTTTTCGTCTGTCCCAAATTGTAGTCTACTTTCTAATTAAAAAATGCAGTTATTTTTTAATTTATCTAAAATACCCTTATTCAATGTAGATTGTTATTAATATAAACTACCTTATTTAACATTGATTGTTAACCTACCCCATTTAATACATTTAGATTTTTCAAAACATATTGATATATGAAAAGCCAGCTTTGTTATTCTTTCAAGAAAAAAATGTGAAATAATATAAAATGAGGATTAATTCTTTCTTGATCATCAATTCAAGTTCCTATAAACCATCAATTCAAGTTTTCATGAATAATTATACTCTATTTAATGTAAGAGTATTTTAGAAAAATAGCAATATAAATTTATTGTTCCAACAAAGATAACTACTTTTTCTTAAATTATATGAAAAAAAAACTAGAACCGTCAAAATGGACAGGGGGAGTATTAATTATTAGACTCTTCCAATTAACGAGTTTTGGTCCCTCCAATGCTCAACAGACATCATATCAAAGAATTGGTTTCCATGCTGCTTTGTCAACTCGCATAATTATGTGCCTCTACATCTGTCATTAAACAACCACAGGGACTACTTGACACTATATAGGACCATAGTTTTCCGAACATCGAAATTAAATCTGGTGGGAGCAATGTCATAAATGACAAATAAGTTATTAATGGTGCGAAGTAAAATAAACCCCGACCAAACAAAACCTTATTAATTAGGGTTGATGCAGCCTAATAGCCGGAAAAATAGATCGTGCATATTAATGAACTAGATGGTAGTAAACAAACAAACAAGAAGGGATGGATAGCTACCGTAGCATTCGCAAGGAAGCAACTTGTTACAGAAAGGAAAAGATTAAAAAAAGAAAGAACAAACCAATTTAATCTTACGATGGCCCAAAAAAGAAAGTGAAAACAAACTGTCGTGCATGGTGGCTTTTTCAGCAGTTACCCGATTATACAACTTTAGCCGTTATAGGTGATGAAAAGAGTGCTACGTTAACAGTATGGGAAAGAATAATCCTCTGTTTGATTCAAACACTCACTTTTCCAATGTTGTAGAATAGTTTTACGTCAAATTATTTGTTTCTTTGGTATGTCTTTTTAGGCCATTAAAGATGGAAGAAGCTTTTTGACTGCAACTGATCAGAATACCAATGCTTTAATAAAAGGGACGTCTTTGTAATTTGTCGTGTATTTGTACTAGTATTTGGTGGATGGATGCAAGTCGCAGCTTGCCAATGCATGCACAAATATTTCTGCTCTTTCTTTCTTGAAAGTTCTCAGGCTTTTTTTTTTTTTTTTTTTTCCATCTGTGGTGGGGAGGGCAAGAATAAAGATAGTTGCTGATGGTAACGAAACCTAATATGTATGTTATCATATAAAGCATGCTCGTAGAAATTATTGGGAATTGGGGGTCGGGACTTGTAGTACATTCCCAACCATGATGAGAAGGGCCCTGGTCATGTAATATTTACTCCTGTCATGAGCGATGTTATGACCATCAGCTTCTAGGGTGCCGTTAAAGAAACATTCTTAGGGTTTTTCTTTTTCGTGTCCACATGGTTCTTTTCTAGGACAGGGCCAAAACATAAGGGAAGAGCAAACAAAAAGAAATCAAATCGAAATGTCTTTTTTATGTTTTTCGCCCCCAAATTTGATTGGCAGATCTCCATATTTGGATAAATCTATGGCTAAGTTAGTTTGCTTTTCTTTTGAATCACTTTTAGTTCAAAGAGACAAAAGAGCTAAAGTGAGCTGAATAAACATTAGTAGTATGTCAGGGTTTTTGTGCAAATAAAAGCCAAATATGATTGAGGAATGAAAGGGAGATCTCTCGTTTGTTGTGTACAAGAATATTGTTTGCTTTGTCTGTAGGGGTTTGATTCGGGGGTCGTTTGACTCCCAAGATAAGGTGGTGGTGGTGGGCATTGGACAGTGAGTGGTGTTGTTCATTCGCTCTCCTTTCTATGCCAACATAAGCACGCTGATAAATATTGAGGCCACTAACTTCTTGCATGTCATGGGAGGGAAGGGAGAAAGCAAAGATAGCCCCCACAAATTCTTCTAAGAATCTGAGCCAAAAAAATGAAGAAGAAGAAGGAAAAAGAGAGAGAGGGAGGGGAAGCCTTGTTACAGCTGCTCAATTTTCAAGGCATCACATTTCAATTCTTTTGGTTTCGTCCAAGGCATTACATTTCAATTCTTTCTTCCATAGCTCATTGCCTTTTATGTGCTTTCAATTCTGTGAGGCACTTTCGTATTGTTTATTCAAGAAACGTAGCCTTGCGAGAAGATAGATCTAAATCATTATGCAACAAGAATCGCAACTACTGTTTAACATTTGTGGCTTTGATTTCTAGTTTCGGTAACAATTAAGGTCTAACTGCATGGCTACTGTTATCAATACCTAAATAATCTAATCTGTATTTGAAATTTATAGAATAGTATAAACCTTTCAAATTATTTAAAAGCAGATTTGCCACTTTAATTCGCAATATTTTTTTTTTCCATTTTGAAAACTTTAAAATCATCTGCGTGAACGTAATTAAGTCATCTTCTCAAATAATTATTTCAAAGTCACCATGTAAAATATAATTATTTTAAAACTTGATAATTGATCCTTGCTAAATAGGTGAATGTCCAAATTTCCAACAGATACTTGCCAAGGGTAAACAGAAGCTCTTTACGTCAATGCAATAGAACAATACCAGCTCGGATACGCAAGTCCTGATTTGTTCACATAACTTGAATAAACCAAGGACTGTTCAAAAGCTTCAACGTTGTGGGACAATATTCCAATATTCCGTATGCCTGCGGGGTGTCGGTGCGAGAGAGAGAGAGGAGGAGGTAGGGAGGGGAATGGATTGAGAATTTCAAAATCCCCATGCATAAAGCGCCTCTCACTCTGCCTGTATATTTAATTCATTGGACGTATATCCTAGTTGATGCATGTACGTCCATGTAAACTGAAAAATGATCTATTATCTGCAATTACTGTGTAGGAGCCGGAGCCATTTACCTTGTAATTTTGAGGCTGGAAGAAATCAAATAGCCACCCGCTCACAATTGAACAGATCAGGGCTTATATCTATATAAAATCGATTGTTTGAAACAATAAGCTTTGTTTTTTGTTTTTTCCTGCCCTAGCCACCTGCATTATTTTAGTTCTACCCATCGTTGCAGTTCTTGTTCTTGGCCCTTTGTATATATGTAGGAGTTCCTCTCGTCCACCTTCCAGTCTTCCTTCGTATTTGGAGGTAACCCATGCTTTACCTTCCAGCAACACAAAAGTTGGTCAAAAGCTCAATATTGCCAATCCTTGACTGAAGCTGAACAATCTAAAATAAGTAAATAAATATAGACATATACACACACACACACACATACACGCACATATACAGTAAACGGATAGGGAGGTCTTTTTAACTGGAGTTGCACCAGTGTAGCGAGTTCCACTTTTGTTCTTATGCTTTTTCCTTTTTCCTCTTCTTTTTAAAGAAATTAGCTAGGAGACTGTGGTTCTTGATTTGTTACATAAGTGATGGGTATCTGTGGTCGCCTTTGTGAATTAAATACGAGTAATTGCATGAAAGGCAGAGTCCCACTTCCACGTCCCGAACCCTGAATTCCTGATATATCTGCGGTGTGTATATTGAGAGAGCAAGGAAGAAAAAAGAGTAAAGCTGAGTTGCCTTTGGTGTATTCCTCATCCTTGTCAGCACATGCATTCCACTTTCTGCCACTGAAATCGACTTTGGACCCCAAATTTAACCTCACCTCCAAGAAAAGAACAGCCCACCTGATCCCTCCCCCCCTCCCACTCTCTATATTTCAATCACATCTCTTTCCACACGTTCCAAGCATAATCTACCCTAGATTTACAGGTTCAATAATACTCTTCTGTACCACACAGTACGTACATATTGATTTATAGGAAGGGATTTAACAAAGATTAATTCATAGACATCCCAGACCATATAAATCTCATACTAGCGTGTATATCTTGCTTCTTGTCTATCTCATCCGAAAAGAGCACCCTAGTGAGGTTTGTGTTTCCTGATTGTTCCAATCCTATCAATAAAACTTCCCGATCCTTTTTTCCATTTGATCGTTCACTCATTCAGAAATTAAACCAAGAGGTCCCTTTTTTTTTTCTGTCAAAGTCTTCATGAAACGATCATCCATACTAGAAATTTGAAACTTTTTACAAGATCCTTTTGGTGATACTCTTTTTGCTATAGAACTCACGAAATCTGTTCAAGAAGTATGAGAGCAGGAGGGTGCACAGTGCAGCAAACTCTGACAGTTGAGGCAGCAACGGTCGTAAAACAGGCGCTAGCACTAGCCAGAAGACGCGGTCATGCCCAGGTAACACCGCTTCATGTTGCAAACACCATGCTTTCAGCTTCCAATGGCCTACTCCGAACGGCTTGTCTCCAATCTCATGCTCACCCCCTCCAATGCAAAGCCCTAGAGCTTTGCTTCAACGTTGCACTCAATCGTCTCCCTGCTTCTTCATCTGGCCCCATGTTAGGTGCTCACTCTCATCGAATTCCGATTTCGAATTGTGAATTCGAAATCGGAAATTCCGATTTGAAAAACTCCATTACCGAATCCGAACTAAATTCGAAATATATGAATTCGGAAAACCCGAATTCGATTCCGATTTCCGATTTATCGATTTCAAAAATTTCGAATTCAATTCGAATTCGGTCGGTAAATCAGAATTTTTCGATTTTGCACACTCCTAATCACATGTCCCTATCACCTTTTTTCCTCACATTTATCAAATCGCTATAGTATTTTTTCCATGAAAAATGACGGAAAATGCAATTAAAACACAACCAAAAGTTTCATCGTACTTATAATGAAGCTTTAGAATGCCATTTTAAATCATTTACCAAAGTATAGATGACGAGAAAGAGGTTAAAACAAAGAGGAGTTAATTCCTCTACCAGCCCACCTTCTTCTTGTATAAATTGACGTAGACCCTGCAAGCATCTTTAATTCGAGTAGAATTCACAGGCTGTATGATTCATTTCCGAATTGTATATATATAAAAAAAGGGATAAAGATTAGTTAATTCTACACGCATAGAGTAGTATATCTTTAGTCATTAGTTAATTTGATCCTTAGTTAATTTTACACGTTGTCCTACTTTTCTATATGGTCCTCGGCAGAAAGTAACAATGGTTAGCTCTAGAATCTACTCAGCCCTTGTTTGATAATTTCATTTAGTATTTAAATTTAATGGATTCAGATCGTAACAAGTTCAGACGCGTTTGATAACAAAAAAATTGAACATCTGAATTAATTAAATGATACTGAATTTCCTAATCAAAACTTGATCTAAAAAATAAGTAATAAGCTACTCACTTATCAGCGAATGTGATATACATTTAAATGTATTAGATTTAGCACTTAATAATTCAATAATTTAATGGATTTAGATTTCAGTTTTAAATTGAGTGTGTTTGGATTGTAAATGATTTGAGATAATTTTGTGAAAAAAGTACTGTAACACTTTTTTGATATGATGTATGTGAGATAAAAAATGATTGAAAAATATATTGACGATGCAAGCAAGTCAGTGCGTGTAAATAAGGTGTAATTTTTTATAATCGAAACACTTACTGTTTGGATTAGCATTTTTTGGGGTGATTTTAAAATTTTTTACTGTAGCAGAGTTTTTAGAATATATTTTGAGATATTTTCTAAACATTGAAAAAATGTAGACTATTTTTTATAGTACCTACCTTTTAAAGTACTTTTTTAAACTAGTAACTAGTTTTTGAAAAACTCAACAATAATTAGCCAAGATAGAAATATTCACAACTAGTTATTGGTTTGGAAACTTAAAAATATCAAACCTTAATGATTTTGTATAGGTATTATTTAAGATAAGCTTGCAAAGAATAATCAAGCATAATAAAATTTTATTATTTTGACACACATTCCACATAATTATTGCCATGTCATTATTACTCATTAAAGATGCGAAAGGAAACCTCTTGTTAGTACATGTTATCACTCCACATAGGCAGTGCTTAAGAAAAAAAAAAAAAAAAAAAAAAAAAAAGGAAAAAAAGAAGCAGCTGTCGGTTTATTGTGATGGGAGCAAAAGCGTACGCTGCTTCCAAATTCCAACCGTCAACTCCATCCTCACTGGTCATATCATCCGTCCAGCATTCGAATTCGATCACCCAAATAAACCATCCGGTCCACCTTTTTAATTACAGTTATCATGAATGGGAATGAAGTTTAGAAAACAAAAAAAAAAAAAAAAAGAAGAATGATTGAAAGTTAGTTGAGGTTGCCAAAATTTTGCAAACCTACCAGACAAACAACCTCCACCTTCCAATTTCATTGTGGCGCCCCGCCCAGCCCCCAATACGTATTGCGACTCGCTAGTCCCTACAGCATTCTTGCTCCGGGACTATTTCCAAGTGCAGCGCGCGCGCATTGTAAAACACATTCTTTCTTTCTTAATTCCGGGTATAGTAGTGCCTCAATACTGTTCCTGCTATCTACGATGTGGCGGTCACTTTGGCCTACAATCGACCGCTTCTCTCTTCACCACTTCAGGTTTGCTCCATTTTTTTTTTCGGTTACATTTGCTTTTTAACCTTTTTGTTTTTGTGGGAGCAAAAGTTTTTGTTCTAAAATCCTGAACTAATTACAAAATAACCCATTTACAGTCAAATTTCTTCTTTCTACTTTTTCCTTGGGCCCGGAGGGGGGGGGGCGGTGTTGGTTGTGAATCAGTGGAGTACAGAGTGGAAGTGAAATTTTGTTGCAACGATGCAATTTAATCAGGGTTTAAAGCTTTGTCTTCATGGTGAAAATTTATCTTGTAGGCAGATTTTTATTACATGATCCACAGAGGAAAATTATATCATAAGGTGGGGAAACATTTTTCTTTTTGATTAAGGCTGGCAGCATCCTCGACATGCATTTCAGCCACATAAAACTGTTGGCTTTAACATGACCTCCTTTTGGGTTGAAAATTTTTGTGTTTCTACTACATTTATTCTTGTTCTACTATCTCCCTTGTTTAACTGTCTTGTGTGATCCAATTTTGGAATTTAGATATATTGTAAACCAACTGCGGGAAATCAGAGTCGTTGACAAGCGCAACCGGGTATAGAATCAATTCATTTCCCACTTCGATTTATCAAATTTGCCTAATGATCTGTTTTCTGCGGTCTGATATCAGCAACCCTTCTCTCTTGCATGATCCTCTTCCTCCAGGAAGTAGTTTTGGATTTGCTTCAATCAATTGTGGAAATAGTTACCTATGGCGATCGGCATGATCCAGCGATTTTCGAGTTAGAAACATTGCATCGCCCTACTTTTCTAGATCCTCTTAATGTGAATATGTTGTGACACATCCAACTTGAGTTTCCTTTTCTCTTCCTATAGATGTTTCATGGAATTTCAAGTTTTAGCAGAGTTTGTTCGTATACTAAAGATTGGTGGGAATTCAGGAATTGAGGCACCACTCTTGCAGTATTTGAGCATAATGATCCAGAACGTGGAAAATGAACATGCCATCTGTAAGCCTTTGAAACTCGCATCCGACACCAGATCAAAGATTGTATTACTCGTAATTTTTTATCCAAGGAAAGTTGAAGGATAGAGGCAAGACATCTAGCTGCCTTGCATGGGTTGGGATAGCATCTAAACAGTTCTAAATGTAGAATGGAATATGAAAACAACGGTGAAAATTGATATTACTTCAAAGCTTAATGACCCCCAACTGTCATGTCAGTCACACATAGTTTCTATTACTATCGTCAGAAACATTAGTGTGCTCTTGCCTGGCTCTCGTGTAGTGCTACATTAATGTGCCCTGGATCTTATCTTTTGTGAGAACATGATCATTCGAGCCTACATATGCATCTTATTGGGGGGTTTCAAATGTATGTGAATTCAAAAAGTCTTGTGTTAAGCCATAGTCTATTTTCACTTCTAAGTAACTGTATTTTCTTTTCTTTTCTAAAGCATTGTTTTGTGCTTACTTCTTCAAATGTTGCTTGTACAATTCTTTGGTGTCTTTTCTAATGTAAATGATGCAGACTATTGTTTCAGCAATGGCTATATCAACAGCGTAATATCACATCATTATGAGTTCGATGGGGGAGATCTAATTCCTTATTATGTATCCTTTCTGAGGTTGTGTGCCTTACTGTTCTTACTGTCAGTTATTTAGTCTCATTTTCCCTGGCTTAAGTTTATGCCCAAGTAATTAATTTTTATTTTTTGTGTAATTTGATCCAGAACAGTTAGTGGGAAAATAGGTAGAGACACAATCTGTCTTCTTGTAAAGGTTCACCAGGTAGATTGAAGCTTAAAATTTCAATGAACTTTATTAGAAAAGACTATCTTTATCCATTCCCTTTTTGTTTGTTCAAGTACTTTACCCTGATACTTTTGACCGAACTGGTCCAAAGCTCCTTGTTTCTTACAAGTATTTATTGCAAAAAGAAGTATGCATTTAGCCAGGCTGTATCCTGCTCTAAAAGAACTTGAAATGCTCAGAAATGAAACGGATTTTTTTTTTGGGCGTTTGATAAAATTCCCTTATTTTATGAGTTGTTGAATGTTCACAGGACCTTAGCATTTAGGAATAAAAGCTCTTGCAGCTATCCATAATGATTTGCAGTTAACATATTAACATAATGTTAGATTATTTAGATAACACCTTCCAATTTTATTTTGGAATTGAGAGACATTTGTTTTGAGGATAGAAATTTTAAATGATTGGTGCAGTCTAGACTAAGGTAATTGGGAAGAATTAGGTCTAACCAATGTCATCTAGTTCCACTAGGTCTGCCCTGTAATAATGCTGTTATCATGCTCTACTATTGATAAAAATGTGTGTTGTCTTTATATAGATTACCTAGAATAATGTGCTTTTTGTTAGTTACTCTGTTTTGTTAGAATAATGTGCTTTTTGACAGGACACTGCAATCTCATTGCCGTTGTATGATGAGGCTCTTAAATTTGCTAACCATGGGGAAAAGATGATACAGATAGCAGTTCGTGCACTGACCCTTAACATTTATAATGGTACTCTACTATTATAAAATGTACTTTATTTTAAATATATTGTACTTTTAGTAGGTTGTATCCAAATAATAGTGATTCTAAGCTATTTATTCAATGATGCAGTTGCTGATGAGATGGTCTATCAATTTCTAACAACTCCTACTGCTTCTGCATACTTTTCTAGCTTGATTCTGAATTTAAAAAATAAGTGCTTGCATGTTGATGCTATCATCAATGGGGTAAAGTATGTTTCTGTTCCTTTAAATGTTCATTTGTTTTTTCCAACAGCAGTTATCCGCCTCTTGAGAGCTTGTCATAACTGTGATGCAGGGAGAGTTTCCATGAAAAGAAAAGAGACCTTCTTTCAGAAACTGATAGAATTTTGGATGACTTCTATTACCTGAAGGACATACTGTGCATTCCTGAGCAGCGCTTGAACAAACTTGTTACAGAGAACATTGTTAACATGCTTATTTTGCCGATGTTGCTTACTCTACTAAACAATAGGCTAAGCAATGTGAGATATTATTCAGTTAGGCTTTGTTATTTTGATATTTTGTCTCCTCAATCTACTGGACTTCATCAGAGGTGCATTTTTCGGCTCATAATTTTTCGGGAAAACTATTTTCCAAAGGATCAATGTAGTTTCTAATAAATAATGAAGAGGATGAGCATATAAAGTCTCTCGCCACTGACATTGGTTAGAAGAAACACTTGAAGAATTTTAACTACTAAGCAATTAAAGTTATGGAGGGATTGTAGTACTATTAGTTCTCTCTCTCTCTTTCTCGGTAAGTGGGAGGTCTTGAACTCAAGATCTCCTACTTACAATCCTTCCCACCTTATCACCCTCCATAGTACTATTACCCCTTGTTATGCTTTTATGTAGCGAAAATAATTTATTATCGTTCCATCCCAGCGCATGTTATTATCCTTGCAGATATTCATTTGCATTTCCTTCAGTGCTGTTCCTTCTGCACTCTGTCTGCAATTGCTCCAGAAACCATCAAAATCAATTTTCATCCAAACAAATATTTCTTTGTGGTTCAGAAAGGCATTTACAAACGTGGAGTCATTTGTATATGTGCACAATAAAGTTTGATATTTAAGTGTTTTACGAGAATAATATCTCAACCTTTTTCATTATTCCTTCAGGACACTGGTCTATCTGCAATCACTTGTCTCTATGTTCTTTGTCGTCTTCTTCAAGTTTTTGATGGAACGAATTTGGTTAATGTTATCGGCAGTGCTGTTCTATTTTCTTTTATGCCTCCGAATGTGACAGATGCTGCTGAGTCTGTTGTATCTGCTAGACTTGAGCAGGTGAATGGTCTTGCAGTCTGTTATCAGGAAGGGGAAGAAATGGTAGATCTTCAGCATGAGGGGGCAGAAAACTTCATGATGAACTATGTTCTTAAGCATTCATTGGAGTTCACAGAACTGAGCTCTTGTTTTGACAGTTCACCGCTGGAGAATTCGGAAAATGAATGGTTAGTGGTGGGTTTTAATGTGAATCCCTTTTTTTTTGCACTGTACATGGAATCATGTATTGGATTTTGAAAGTAATCTGTTAATCTTGATACCACCAGTTAAATTATTTATTTAAGGTGCATAATAAAATTAATTTAGAGCTTTAGAAAGCTTTCAAAAGGTCTAGAATAAAAAGGTGCAATTATTACAGCTGTTACAGATGCATGGTGTATCACCATATCTGGGCAAAAAGTTTGGTGGTCATAGAAGTGACAAACTTAGTGGCATCATTCACAAACATTTGGAAGCCATAATGATCAGCTGAATAGTAGATTATGAAGGACATTGCATTTGTTCTTCTTTCTGTGTGTAATACATAGTGTTTTATTTTTGCTGTTTGCTTCATATGCAAGTTCATTTTGATGCTTAAAATTGCCTCTACTTATTGATCTTATATTATATGTGAAACAAGGGGGCTTGCGGATCAGGTTTTCTTGAGATCCTGGATGGCTTTTATCCTTATCTATGTCATTTTTCATTACTATATGTTTGGTACCTTCTCTCTTCTTTTCTATCTGTTTTGAGTTCTGTACAATAAAAGCGGCTCCTTGTGAAACTGTATAATATGATGCAAAATTCTTGGAGAGGATGACAATAGATGCGGTTAATTGCCTAATTTTAACAGTGAATAAGATGTTCAGGCATTTCATTTTTTTATCTGCAATTAATTTGAGCCTTATAATTATTTTTCTGATGCAGAAATTTCCATTAGGCTTGTCCTGACGGTAACAAGATTTGTATTTGGAACATTTTGCAGGGGTGGAATATTTAGTTGTATTTTCTCCCGTAATCACAGTCTAATGCTAGGTTCTTTGATGTTATTGTTTACAGTGGCTGACAGTAAAGGTAGTTTTATTTTTTCATCTTTTCTTATATGTATGACTGCTCCGCTAGTTTATTATTAATTATTTTTCTTTTCCTGCAGATCTTCATTACCAGTTGGCTGCAAAGATAGGATTTTCTCAAGTAAAGGTAATGGTTTTATATTCCCTGTTATGGTTAGAGAACAAAAGTCATATGTTCCTGTTTTGTTTTATCATTTGCTTACTTTTAAGGAGGGCATGCCTTGGAGATTCTTTGTAGGTTTTGTGATCATGTGTGACATTGAATGTCATATCCCTATTATTTTGACGTTTAGCAAAAAGTTGGATTGTAATATTTAGGGAATTGACCCTTGCTTTTATATTTAATTCCCAGACTGCTTCAGAGATGATTGGAAGCACTTTTGCGGGACACATACAGAAGGTATTTTTTGCCCAAGTTGCATTTCACCAATAATTTTAATATGTTGTCCTGCTTGTGATAGTGAATTCCAAGAGCGCAGCAAGCTGTTGGATATGGGAAGTTTCTGCCTCATGATTTGCTAAATGCATGAACTTGCAATCTTCCTAATCAAGTTAGTTTCTCTTTGGCATCGCCTGCTATTATGATGCTTTTATTGATTGTGCAGATTGTGAATCAATTATTGAAGGTTTTGGCGAGTGAACCACCATTGTCAGTACCAATATTGTTGCATGCAGCTTGGTTTTTGCGAAAGTTGTTGGTTTTTCTGGACCAGAAGTTAGAGGACAATGATTGTCACCTCTTCAAGGTTTGGTTTGAATTTCTTGTAATGTTTCCTCAGTCTCTATCATATTACAGTTATTAGTTGGAAAACTTTTCCTTTTGAGATGTTCCTGAAATACTGTTACATATCTCGAGTTGGACGAACTAGGTAATCGCTAGTGTTTGAATACTGCAAGCCATATTGACAGTTGGTGAATAGAGTTTATAGGGAATAAATAGAGATTCTGCAGCTCCACTCAGTTTGCAAAAGTTTCATATTAATGGTGGTCAAAATTCATGTCTATTGGCAGTGAATAACAGCATCAGCATGTTTATATATAATGTCCTGAGGCTTTTGCAACTGCTGGGTGATTAACTGGTTCTGTGCTCATAAATTTAGCATTTTGTGCCCCCCCCCCCCCCAAAAAAAAAAAACTACATCTGTCTGTGAAATTTGCATTCCCGTGTAGTTTGAATAACTCATAGAAGATAATCAAATAATTTCAGTCCTTTGATCCGAATAATTCAACACAATTGGATGCAATAAAATTGTACGGTTATCTGAGATATTCAACTATTGGTTTGATATGACAAATAATGCTCAATCTAGTCTTATGGGTATTGAAAATGAGTATGTGCAGGATGCTAACTCTATAACTTGTTTTTTCTTGCAACTTAGGTGACAATTAATTGACGACTAATTTGCACCTCAAGTAATCCAGGTCGTTAGGGCTTCTATGCTTTGCTTATCTCTAGGGGATGTTAAGTCACAATATTCTGTGATGAGGCAGGATTTATTTTCATCCATATTGCATTTTTTTTTAAAGATTTCATGGATCATCATCACAGCTCCATTGCAAAGCTTTCTAATGACTGTAGACAAAAGTGAATGCAATTTAAGGATATAGTTTTTACCATGCACAAAAATTTGGGTAACAATTCAGGTTGGATGACCTGCAATCCTTGATGGACTAGCCCCTAGTTGCCTAACAGTCCCATGGAACTGTAAGATTGAGACATTGTGTGATATGTAGTCATTGGTTGCATAATCGTTGTATGATGAGGGAGACATTTCGTTGCCTAAAATTTCTTGCAAATGTACGACTTATAATTATATCTCAAACTTTCTAATGAGAATTTTGTCTCTGAGGTACGCTGACAGACCTCATATGAGGTCTCTTGTGGACATCTTTATGAAGAATTTGATCGATGCTGGTTTGACCATATTCCAGATGTGTTAAAAAGCGAATGGGCCAACTGTAAAACAGGTATGCAGTGTTTGTTTCAAATTTTGCCAGCAAAGAAGAAAAGGCTTTCTGGAAATTTGGGTCATCATCCTGCCTTGTGATTTGTATCAAGGAATTTGATTTGGTCCTTCTGGTGGTGTACGATTTTACCATTTTGTTTTCTCATAATGGGCTATGTAATCTTTTTTGAGCATTTGTTTGCCTTGTGAGGCTACAGCACTTGAAGAATCATCACAGTCCAAGGATCCTTTCTTTCTTCTAGAACTTGCATCTATTCAAAATCCTCCAAGTGGTAGTATGGCGTTTCTTCTACTCTCTTCCTTCCTTCTTTTATTCATGTTTCTTTTGTTTTATCTCTGCTGTCTGCTTTTAAAAAGTATAGTCTTACCACCTGCTAGTTTTCTATTTAACATCTCAGGCAATACCGGTCCTGCTTTTGATTGGCAACGGATGGTTGATTGTGTCAAGGTTAACAATTATCTTTTGAACTCTAATCATGGGAATTACCTAACAGATTTAATCCTTCACCATTATGGTGTTTGGTTTTCAGAGTATGTGAAATTGAATAGGTGATGTTTAATTTGGGAGGAAATGCCTGATAGTAATATTGATACAAGTACCTACCAAGGAGGCTAAATAATGATGACTGGTACCGTTTTTTCAGTGATTTCCGGACCTTGTGGGATGGGAAGTTCGATAGAACTTTAGGTATATGATATTTAGTCTCTGTATTGAGCCAAGTTTAGGAGTATGTCAGCCTTCTGTTTCATCTGTGCCATTTGGGTGTGAATCAGACAATTTTTTTTTGTCAGTTGTCACAGAAACCACAAAAATGATACTTGACTAATTTTCACTGGCTTGTAAACTTGATAGGTTTTTGTTCTCCATCTTCAACTGAAGCCATTTATTTTTGGGGGTGATCCTTTTGATAATCCTTTGGCAAATTTGAAAAACAGCTACTTGGCTCAATCGGGGAAAAGATATCCTTCAGATCTTTCATTGGCAAGCTTCGGTTCAGAGGTAGCTTTAGGTTGGTTATCCATCCTGTGGAGGTGTTACTTAGCATTCACTCAAATATGCATAATCATGTTCTTAATTGGAGTTTTTATCTTTATATTTTGCTTAAATATTCACAGGTTCTGGAATCCCCTGTAAAATTGCATTTTCTGGAGCTGGGACAAGAGATATTTATGTGATACCAATTGCAAGGGAAATATCTGGTAAATTGCTACTTGTGGAACGGCATCCGTTACACTCTAGAAAAGGAGTTGTAATTGCCATTGCTCCATTGGCTGGATTGGATGTAAGTCCTTACCCCCACGTTATTTTGAAAGTCTCTTTCATAGTATTGACCTTTGGGCATCATATAAATGCTCAAAATGATTATAAAACTCGCTGAATCATTCAAAATTATGCCAAATGCGTAAATCTTCCGAGTTTCTCTGATCGAATTTTAATTACTGTTACTAAGATATTAATTGGTAGACACTTCTTGGATAATATATAACTGTAGCACATATCTCCGCTTAGAACCACTGCGGACCTGGCCTGTTGACATGAACAGGTCATTATGCAGGAACCCAGTGAGTATGATCTGGGAGATGTGCTGATGCAATGTGTGAAATGTCAATGTCATCTACTTGTTTTGTGGGTGACTTGGAAAGTTCGTTTGGTCCAAAATTTTCATCTAACACTCATTTCTTCCCCTGTTCGAATAGCCCAAGATAGACGAGGAGCATCCTACATGGTTGCTAGTGCATCTTAGAGACTTTGAGCCAAGACTCCGATCAGATGAGACGAAAACACTCGACTCCCATACATCACTCCCTGAACAAGGAAGATGGATACTTGGATTTTTGAGCGCCAAAGATTGCAAGGCTGCTTTCTCGGTGATACTCGAGGAAACCAGAAAACAGAGGTCCTTTGTGGAGAACTTGGTTGCTCCGGTACTGGAAGAGAAATTGTTCAAATAGTCGTCAACAAAATGCTGGGGCAGTTTGAATGCCGAGTAACAGCTCCTATAACCCACAACACATTAATAATACCCTGTACATCTCCTCCTTGTTTTTGTTGATGAAGCTAATTGGATTATAAGCACGCCTTGTGGTTTTCTATTCCCTCCATGTATTATATCTGCCTCTCTAGCAGCAATGACAAAAACAACACAACGTATTGATAAAAGCGACAGGCTCTGCTACAGGATTTTTTTTTTTTTTGGGGGCAAATCATTAAATACCTCGGCTAGGTGACCCAATCATTTAAAGGAATGCATAGAGTCCGAAGAAAGGCAATTTGGTCATCTTTTGCAAGGACATCACCACGATGATAATAGAAATATTTGCATCAGCACAACATAAAAAATTGCATCATGATGCATATCATAGAAAAGATGACCTGGCCTTGTTTGCCACAAAATCTGGGTTATACAAGCATTCCAATCAAGATTTCTGGAAAAGAGCAAGAAATTATCTGAACGTTATACGAAATGAATAGCAAAGAAGTTTAGTTCTATGTGCGCATAAATCCTAGTTAGCTGCCAATAAGAGCAAACGAGAATAAGGGGTTATGGGCTCATATCAACCTTATCATTAGTAGTTAAAGAGCAGGGCGGGCTTACTTTTTTGTTCATACTAAAAGTGAAATGCTTGCATATATACGAATAATTGAATATTCAGTTGAAATCAACAATGCTGTGAGTTCCTTGGGATGGGGAGTTGGACATTTTATTATCTAATAGTACTGAATCAGAGTGAACTATTTTGCTTTGTTGATACAGATATATTAAACGCCCAAAAAGAAAAAAAAAAAATTCTACTTGTCAATATGTAAACCTTGTTTTCTGTTGTTTGTTTTTGCTCATGAGTTTCAGCATTTTTGCTGTACTTTAGATGGAACTCATCTGCCTTGGCATGTTGCGTTGAAAAAAGGACATGATATGATATAGAGCTTTAATTCGGGGTACAAGGATAACTATCGCAGTTTATTTTCTTAAGTAGTAGTAGTTTGTAGCAAGTACTTTCGTAATTCTAATTCTCTAAGAAAATTGCATGGTCTGAAACAAACTTTTGCAAAAGGAGTATGTGGTACGCAGTGGCATCGGCTTTGCATTGACAAGGCTGTATCATGTCAAAATTAGAGCAACTTTTTCTCCTGCTACCTTTAAAAATCTTTGGCCCGCCAGCGAAATACTACTATTTAGTACTCTCTGCTACGAGAAAGGAGGGGGAGGCTATTGTGAAAAAAAGAAAAAAAGAAAAGAAAAGTGCTCTCTGCCTCTCAAAATTGCTTTCACCACATGGCCGTGTACAGACCAAAGGCGTATATTCGAAGCGCAGGAGCATAAACGTAATACTATCAATCCTTTCTCATTTCAATTTAACTATGGGTTGCATGTTGCATGATAGTGTCTTTGCCTCGAGCAAAAAGAAAATTGATATGATTAAAAAAGCTATTCCGTCCGTTTGATAGTTCTGTTTTTCTTTTTCGTGTGTCCCAAATTGTAATCTACTTTCCAATTGAAGGATGCGGTTATTTTTTAATTTATCTAAAATACCCTTATTCAATGTAGATTGTTATTAGTATAAACTACCTTATTTAATATTGATTGTTAACCTACCCCATTTAATACATTTAGATTTTTCAAAATATATTGATATATGAAAAGCCAGCTTTGTTATTCTTTCAAGAAAAAATGTGAAATAATACAAAATGAGGATTGATTCTTTCTTGATCATCAATTCAAGTTTTCATGAATAATTAATATAAAGTTATACTCTATTTAATGTAAGAGTATTTTAGAAAAATAGCAATCTAAATTTGTTATTCCAATAAAATTAACTACTTTTTTTAAAATTATATATATAAAAAAACTAGAATCGTCAAAATGGAACAGAGGGAGTATTAATTATTAGACTCTTCCAATTAACGAGTTTTGGTCCCTCCAATGCTCAACAGACATCATATCAAAGAATTGATTTCCATGCTGCTTTGTCAACTCGCATAATTATGTGCCTCTACATCTGTCATTAAACAACCACAAGGGCTACTTGACACTATATAGGACCATAGTTTTCCGAACATCGAAATTAAATCTGGTGGGAGCAATGTCATAAATGACAAATAAGTTATTAATGGTGGGCAGTAAAATAAACCCCGCCCAAACAAAACCTTATTAATTAGGGTTGATGCAGCCTAATAGCCGGAAAAATAGATCGTGCATATTAATGAACTAGATGGTAGCAAACAAAACAAGAAGGGATGGATAGCTACCGTAGCATTCGCAAGGAAGCAACTTGTTACAGAAAGGAAAAGATTAAAAAAAGAAAGAACAAACCAATTTAATCTTACGATGGCCCAAAAAAGAAAGTGAAAACAAACTGTCGTGCATGGTGGCTTTTTCAGCAGTTACCCGATTATACAACTTTAGCCGTTATAGGTGATGAAAAGAGTGCTACGTTAACAGTATGGGAAAGAATAATCCTCTGTTTGATTCAAACACTCACTTTTCCAATGTTGTAGAATAGTTTTACGTCAAATTATTTGTTTCTTTGGTATGTCTTTTTAGGCCATTAAAGATAGAAGAAGCTTTTTGACTGCAACTGATCAGAATACCAATGCTTTAATAAAAGGGACGTCTTTGTAATTTGTCGTGTATTTGTACTAGTATTTGGTGGATGGATGCAAGTCGCAGCTTGCCAATGCATGCACAAATATTTCTGCTCTTTCTTTCTTGAAAGTTCTCAGGCTTTTTTTTTTTTTTTTTTTTTCCATCTGTGGTGGGGAGGGCAAGAATAAAGATAGTTGCTGATGGTAACGAAACCTAATATGTATGTTATCATATAAAGCATGCTCGTAGAAATTATTGGGAATTGGGGGTCGGGACTTGTAGTACATTCCCAACCATGATGAGAAGGGCCCTGGTCATGTAATATTTACTCCTGTCATGAGCGATGTTATGACCATCAGCTTCTAGGGTGCCGTTAAAGAAACATTCTTAGGGTTTTTCTTTTTCGTGTCCACATGGTTCTTTTCTAGGACAGGGCCAAAACATAAGGGAAGAGCAAACAAAAAGAAATCAAATCGAAATGTCTTTTTTATGTTTTTCGCCCCCAAATTTGATTGGCAGATCTCCATATTTGGATAAATCTATGGCTAAGTTAGTTTGCTTTTCTTTTGAATCACTTTTAGTTCAAAGAGACAAAAGAGCTAAAGTGAGCTGAATAAACATTAGTAGTATGTCAGGGTTTTTGTGCAAATAAAAGCCAAATATGATTGAGGAATGAAAGGGAGATCTCTCGTTTGTTGTGTACAAGAATATTGTTTGCTTTGTCTGTAGGGGTTTGATTCGGGGGTCGTTTGACTCCCAAGATAAGGTGGTGGTGGTGGGCATTGGACAGTGAGTGGTGTTGTTCATTCGCTCTCCTTTCTATGCCAACATAAGCACGCTGATAAATATTGAGGCCACTAACTTCTTGCATGTCATGGGAGGGAAGGGAGAAAGCAAAGATAGCCCCCACAAATTCTTCTAAGAATCTGAGCCAAAAAAATGAAGAAGAAGAAGGAAAAAGAGAGAGAGGGAGGGGAAGCCTTGTTACAGCTGCTCAATTTTCAAGGCATCACATTTCAATTCTTTTGGTTTCGTCCAAGGCATTACATTTCAATTCTTTCTTCCATAGCTCATTGCCTTTTATGTGCTTTCAATTCTGTGAGGCACTTTCGTATTGTTTATTCAAGAAACGTAGCCTTGCGAGAAGATAGATCTAAATCATTATGCAACAAGAATCGCAACTACTGTTTAACATTTGTGGCTTTGATTTCTAGTTTCGGTAACAATTAAGGTCTAACTGCATGGCTACTGTTATCAATACCTAAATAATCTAATCTGTATTTGAAATTTATAGAATAGTATAAACCTTTCAAATTATTTAAAAGCAGATTTGCCACTTTAATTCGCAATATTTTTTTTTTCCATTTTGAAAACTTTAAAATCATCTGCGTGCACGTAGGATTTAAGAGAAACAAAATAATGATAAAGCAATTAAGAAAGAGTAAACTAATTAAGTCATCTTCTCAAATAATGACTTAAAGCCACCGTGTAAAATATAATTATTTTAAAACTTAAAATTTGCTGATTGAAGTCTCTACTTCCAAAAAACTACTATACTTTTGGACCGCAACGGATCTTCTGTCCCACATTCTGTGCCATTCTCTGTCCCACTTTTTATTATATTGATATTCTCTGTCCCACTTTTTATAATTGATACTTGCTAAATAGGTGAATGTCCAAATTTCCAACAGATACTTGCCAAGGGTAAACAGAAGCTCTTTACGTCAATGCAATAGAACAATACCAGCTCGGATACGCAAGTCCTGATTTGTTCACATAACTTGAATAAACCAAGGACTGTTCAAAAGCTTCAACGTTGTGGGACAATATTCCAATATTCCGTATGCCTGCGGGGTGTCGGTGCGAGAGAGAGAGAGGAGGAGGTAGGGAGGGGAATGGATTGAGAATTTCAAAATCCCCATGCATAAAGCGCCTCTCACTCTGCCTGTATATTTAATTCATTGGACGTATATCCTAGTTGATGCATGTACGTCCATGTAAACTGAAAAATGATCTATTATCTGCAATTACTGTGTAGGAGCCGGAGCCATTTACCTTGTAATTTTGAGGCTGGAAGAAATCAAATAGCCACCCGCTCACAATTGAACAGATCAGGGCTTATATCTATATAAAATCGATTGTTTGAAACAATAAGCTTTGTTTTTTGTTTTTTCCTGCCCTAGCCACCTGCATTATTTTAGTTCTACCCATCGTTGCAGTTCTTGTTCTTGGCCCTTTGTATATATGTAGGAGTTCCTCTCGTCCACCTTCCAGTCTTCCTTCGTATTTGGAGGTAACCCATGCTTTACCTTCCAGCAACACAAAAGTTGGTCAAAAGCTCAATATTGCCAATCCTTGACTGAAGCTGAACAATCTAAAATAAGTAAATAAATATAGACATATACACACACACACACACATACACGCACATATACAGTAAACGGATAGGGAGGTCTTTTTAACTGGAGTTGCACCAGTGTAGCGAGTTCCACTTTTGTTCTTATGCTTTTTCCTTTTTCCTCTTCTTTTTAAAGAAATTAGCTAGGAGACTGTGGTTCTTGATTTGTTACATAAGTGATGGGTATCTGTGGTCGCCTTTGTGA